TGCAGCCTCAGAAGAAGAAGAGGCATGGATCCCATTATAAAAGACTTCCGAGGGAATACTAGAGCACGATTTTTTTGAATTTACATAGTTCCAGAACGACTTTGGATTCACCTTGATATCCGACTCGAAATTACGAACATACCTGCTCTGAAATATTTTACCTAACGTTTTAAACTCTCTCAAATAGTGAAGATATTTATCTTTAAAAGCAGAAATTTTAGTTGATTTAAATTTTTTGTAAAACTTATTTCTCAAATTCTTTAGATTATTTAGTTTCATATTTTCATTAATGAAAACTAGATCAAGAGTTCTAGATAACTTATTAGTGAGACTATTTATCTGGGATTGATTAACACTTAAGAAGTTGTCGACAAGATACGAATCAGAAAAACCGTTCACAAATTTAGGAAGTAAAGTTGAACTATTGTCTAAGTATGACCATTCCACGTTCGGTAAATTAAAGTCTCCGAAAATGCAAAAATTGTCACTGTCATGATTACAGACGAGATCGACAACGTTGTCAACGTGCGATTTGTAGAGTGAGTCCACACTAGACGGAGGGATGTATGACGCGCAGATAAAAGTTCTGGAGCTGTCAAGCACCGAGACACACAATTGGTCCAACAAGGAGTCCGTGTTGCTCAAACTCACAAGCGATGACCGAATCCGAGGATGAACAGCGATGAGAACCCCGCCTCCTCTCGAGCGGCCTAATTTGGAGTAGTCCCAATCTTTGCGATAAACGCAAAAAACTCCGAATTCAGCCAGGTTTTTATCAAGACAAAAATGTCATATTCAGCATGAGAGCTCATATTGAAAAGCGAGTTAGATTTAGTCCGCAGGCCGAATACATTTTGAAAATATATTGTAAGATGCTTCATATATTAGGCGAAGCACTTTGCTTTTCATCCAAAGCGGGTGGAGGCGGGGAGACGAACGGAATGACTGTCGACGAATGTCCGTGCAGACTTTGAACATCGATTACGCAGGATCGATCCCTGCTGAAGTCTAAAAGAAAGAAGTCTGATGAGGAGCTGTGGTGATCTCCGAAATAGCTGCTATAACTTCTACCGCTTAGACTTTGTTGCTTTTTCAATTTTTCCTAATAAACAATCGTGGTACAAAGCTTAATAAAAGTATTACAAATTAAATTTAAGGTTCAATTGTTTATTTCTTTGTCTTTACGTTTGTGTCTTCTACATATACACTTTTAGTTTATCTTACAAAATTGCAGAGGTATATTAGATAGTATACCAGACGTTCCCAAACTTATTTTTCTCGTAGACGCCTTTTTAAACTGTACTGGCTTCGTTGGACCCCCTGATGCTGATTTCATATTCCCAAAGCTCATCAAAAAATGCGAAGATAAAATCTAACGATGTAATTTTTCATCGAGGGTGAGTTCCAAAACAGATTCGACAATGTGCGAGTGCGGGCTTAGTGCTGGAATTATACCAGCATTCCCCCTCAGGGAACTCTCTCTCTCTAGAATTTCTTCAACAAAGGTAATGGTGGCGTACCATCCTGTAGCATTGAAAATACACAAGTGGTAAAATTTCTGCCGCCGGCGATTTCCGCATCGCCTCACTCAGTGTTATATCAGCATCCGTTTCTTTTTAGTCTGCACATGGCCTTTAAGACTTCCCCACGTATGATAACACAAAGTGACGGTAAGTTCACCAGTGCGTCAAGAGCACTATACATTAAAGTTAAATAAATAGGCTATAAAGCAATCATTTTGGTTCTTTACTATCGAAACCAGATGAATTTTCGTGGACCCCCACTTACAACTCGTGGACCCCATATTTTTTCACGCCACCGTAGACCCCTGTCGAGTCTCCCGTGGATCCCTGGCGGTCCACCTGGACCACTTTGGGAATCACTGTAGTATACGGAAAATTAATTTTTCCGGCTATTTGGTATACACGTATGTAGAGCTATGAATTTAAAAAATGCATCAGGTTTTAGTTGAGAATTCGCCTTTGACCACTATGTTTTGTAAATTTCCCAGTACTGCAAAGCTTTTACCATTCATCAGGTAGTGGCCAGAAGTGATTTGTTTGCTTACGGTTCAAATTGCAGCTCAGTTCTTCCGGATATTTATATCCACGTATCCCCTGGGTAGCGATCAAACACCCGTTAATGTGACAAGACGTATAACCCCGCGAGCGCTTGGTTTGGGTCCCTGCACGTTAAAACTAGAGGTGGGAAACTATCGATAGTCACACCATCGATAGTTTTCGTAATTTTTGGAAAGACTATCGATACTACCGCGATAGTATCGTTATTGTCAGACTGTCAATCGTTTTGCAATTTCTCGGAAAACTATCGATTCTATCGCGCTATTATCGTTAAAAAAAGCCTAATTAAAAGTTTCGAATGATTTTAAAAGAGTTTTATACTATATATATTTAATTCCGATACATATATATCTTTTCAGTTCTTGCAAAAAGAACGTAAACGCCAAGGTTTGCGAACCTTGCCCTAGGAAAACAGGTTTTTACCGCCAAATCTTTGCACCATGCAGGGGCTTTATATTTTACATAAAAATTTACGAAAAAGATTTATAATGTAAAATATTTTGAATATTGTGAAAAAAAATTTAATAGCGAATACTTCTGCGAGTGACTGTATGTTATTACATACGTATAAATAAAATTATTTATATGAGATTTACTTCATTACGACTTTTGTTTAAACAAGCAAGCGGCACTACCAACACCGAAAAACGCCTAAAATTGCAAAAAAAAATATTTTTCCAAGGCGAAGAGCAAAGTTACTATGAATAGGTTTTTAAAACCGTCGATAGTGTTGCAAAATTAAAACGATCGATACTATCGAGAGTACCATCGATGGTTTTGCACCTCTAGTTAAAACCCTACCCAATGAAAATGATGACGATCACGGCAAACGTAGGAAGGACTATGATTTGAGAGTATGCACCTGGAATATTCGGACCCTTAATCGGGATCGTGCCTCTGCCCGGTTGGTTGATGTCCT